TCCTACTGTTTTGCTCCGAACTGGGCTAATGAAGACGGGCATACGCCATACAGTGTGCTATGAGGGAAATTTTGCCCGGACAGCGGCACTACGGCCTACTCTTATATCGAATTCCAACTGTCAAGGGATCTTTTACGTGCACGCCAATGTGTACACGGGACCTCGGTTTTTCGTCCCATCCGAACGACTAGACAGCTGTCCTGTTCAGCCCCTCCGTCCTGCATCACTGACAAGGGAGAACCACGCCGGAAAATCTGGATGGACTTTCTCGGCCAATGCAGGGATCGAACACCCGACCTCCAGGCTAGCGAGCCAGCGCCTTACCCACTTAGCCACCGTGATCCCCGTATTAGGTCTAGGGTATTACCTAAATTATGTGTCGGAAATGAAATGAAATGAAATGGGGTTTAACGTCCTACTGTTCTGCTCCTATACTGGAATAATAAAGACGGGCATACGCCATACAGTGTGCTATGAGGGAAATTTTGCCCGGGCAGCGGCACTATCGGCAACTCTTATATCGAATTCCAACTGCTAAGGGATCTTTTACGTGCATTCCAATGTATACACGGGACCTCGGTTTTTCGTCTCATCCGAAAGACTAGACAGCTGTCCTTGTCAGGCCCTCAGTCCTGCATCACCGACAAGGGGAAACCACGCCGGAAAAATGGGGTGAACTTTCTAGGCCAATGCAGGGATCGAACACCCGACCTGCAGGCTAGCGAGCCAGTAAATTATGTGTCGGACCGTAAACTAATTGATTTAGAGAGAATGTTTCGGAAATTTCATAAAAAGCGATTACTTCAGGATCGGACTGCTTATTAACGCGGGTATTGAAATCTCCAGCTATTAAACAACGATTGCAGGTTAAAAGTGCATCACTGAGGAAATCAGGGAATTCGATGAGAAATGTGGAGAAGGGCACAGGATGATCAGCGGAAGGTGAGGGTCTATAAACAACAATCACAGTTATACAAAGTGAACTTATCAGCAGTTCAATAATTGCGTATTCAAACGAAAGAACGTTATCGGACTTAATAATCTTGTATCTGATAGAAGCTGTGAGAAATATACCAATACTGCCACCGTTTCGTCAGGTCCTGTTGGGATAGACGCTGGCTCGCTAGCCTGAAGGTCGGGTGTTCGATCCCTGCATTGGCCGAGAAAGTTCATCCTGATTTTCCGGCGTGGTTTCCCCTTGTCAGTGATACAGGACGGAGGACCTGACAAGGACAGCTGTCTAGTCGTTCGGATGGGACGAAAAATCGAGGTCCCGTGTACCTTTATGCTCCTTAAAGGAACTATCCCGATTTGAACAGAGTCTCAATTTTTTCGTTGGGTGACCTGATAATCGATTACCGTTCCTTTAAAGGTCTATACAGTGAATGACCCATGTGATGTACATGATAACGAAAGATAAATTTCAGCTACATATTATTTTTTATAAAATAAAAGTCTTGTTTTATCCAGACACCGCATAATACAGCTTGGGACACTGGTCTCCATTTCCAGATGAAGGCTGGCGGGTTTAAGTTGTTTGAAAACGTATCACGTATATTGAGTTGTTCGGCCCTAAGGTACAGGATTATAAGGGCTTTTAAAACAAAATTAAGCTGTTGGATGATCCAAAATATAACCGGGGGTGGCCCTTTAACGTCGTGAAAGTAGGGATCTAGTGTTAAGATGGTTGTATTAACATCTTCTATTTCTATGTAACTATTGTAACACCTCACTGGTTCCACGAATAATATGCTTCTTAAGGCCGTCACATGTGTAAAAATAAAATAGATATTTGAGTAACGTCCCTGTTGAATAAGTAGGCCACTAATGATTTATAATATAAAGAAATAAAGAGGACATTGTGTGAAATTGTACACGTATGTATAAATTTATTATTTATACATTTGGATCATGACGTGACCTTTTTTAATAACCAGAAGCCCTTTATGAAGAGTGTTTCACGTTTCACCGGTATCTTCTAACCAAGATAAATCTAGAAATATCAGATAAATTTATACATAAAATGGTCCCCTGATGCATAGGCGTACTGGCTCGATGAATGTTTGAAAATTTAACTGCCACAAACGCGTTTTCCTGCTATTCCTGCCCGTGGATAAAGCAATAAGTGACTATTTAATAGTAATAAACCACTGGAGAATTGCAATTATAGCTACAAAGTGAGAGAGCGAGAGAGAGAGAGAGAGAGAGAGAGAGGGGTAGATAGATGGGGTTTAACACGTCCACTTGACACAAACTAGGTCACTTTGGGACTAACATATGGTTCAATTTTATTTCCATAATTTGCTTGTGCGTACGGGTCTTTAGCAGTGAAGGAATCCGGAGGACCCGGAGAAAACCCACGAGGATGGACCGGCGACCCTACTCCTTGTCACATACAACCAGGGAATCGAAACCACGGCATTTGACTCAATGACAGACTTTATGATACAGCGCGCATGTGCTAACCATTCAGCCCTCCAATCCCCCAGCTACAAAGTAAAGACGACGTTGATTTAACAGGTGCGCCAAGTTAAAGGAGCACTCAATTATGTAAAATTAAAAACACGAGTTACAATACGATATTAGTTTATATCAATCAATATTGAGGTTGTTATCTTACCGTGAAAATATACGATCATAATATCCAATATTTCAGACATAATTAACAGTTTATAATAGGCACACGATTCGTGTATTCTATGGATTCGGGCGCAATTTTTAATGAACACAGAAAAACATATTCCACGACTGAATCAGAAACATGTGAATCTTTTCGTTTTTTTAATATAATTTTGTACGGTGATAAATATATGGATATTAACAGATTCAGGGAATGGCGTAGAATCATTAAATAAATTTTATACAATTCAGGTCGTGGTAGATTGCCTATAAAACCAATGCAAGTTTACCAAATAAGTGAAACGATTTTTCAATGCTTTTATTGTCTCATGTGCAGTATAGATTTGGAAAGATATTTGAGAGAGAGACAGATAGAAATGGGGTTAAACGTCCACTCGAAACAAACTAGGTCATTTCGGGACTAGCATAATTTTAATATGGTTTAATTTTATTTCAATAATTCGCTTGCGCGTAGGGGTCTTTAGCAGTGGGAGGAAACAAGAGGACCCAGAGAAAACCCACGAGGTTTGACAGGCGACCCTACTCATTGTCACGTACAACCGGGGATTCGAAACCACGCCAGTTGACTCAATGACAGACCTTATGATACAGCGCGCACGTACCAACCATTCAGCTGTGGGAGGAAACCCACGAGGTTGGACAGGCGACCCTACTCCTTGTCACGTACGACCGGGGAATCGAAACCACGCCAGTTGACTCAATGACAGACTATATGGTATGCGCGCACGTGCTAACCAGTCAGCCATCCAACTCCCCCAGAAAGATATTTGATTTATTTATAATTTAGACCATTATTATAGATATTTTATAGGTACGATTATGATAAATGGATAGTTTTCTGCATCGATGAGTCCTGTGTCCGCACAGATAGCCGACCGCAACGACCCAGTATTTAGGCATACGACCACGAGGAAAATCGAAAAAAAAAACCCAGGTATTGTGTTCGTAATAGTAAATGAAATGAAATGAAATGGGGGTTAACCGCCTACTGCTCTGCTCCGAACTGGGTTAATGAAGACGGGCATACGCCATACAGTGTGCTATGAGGAGAAATTTTGGCCGGACAGCGGCACTATGGCCTTAACTCTTATATCGAATTCCAACTGTCAAGGGAACTTTTACGTATACACCGAGGTCCCGTGCATACTTTGGCTTGCACGTAAATGATCCCTTGGCAGTTGGAATTCGATATAAGAGTAGGCCGTAGTGCCGCTGTCCGGGCAAAATTTCCCTCATAGCACACTGTATGGCGTATGCCCGTCTTCATTAGCCCAGGTTAGGACGTTAAACCCCATTTCATTTCATTTCATTTTACGTATACACGGGACAGCGGTTTTTCGTCCCATCCGAACGACTAGACAACTGTCCTTGTCAGGCCCTCCGTCCTGCATCACTGAAAAGAGGAAACCACGCCGGAAAATCCCGATGAACTTTCTCTGCCAATGCAGGATTGAACACGTGACACCCATGTGAGCGAGTCAGCGTCTTACCGACTTAGCCGCCATGACTCCCCTCTTGGTTGGAAGGTAGGGTGTGCAGTCAACGCCGGATTAACCATGGTGGGGGCCCTGGGGCCTGAAACATGTGGGGGGCCCCTGATCACCGACCGCAGAGCTGTGGCCACCGCGGGGGTCTTGGGGGGGGGGTTACCCCCCCGGGAATTTTTCAGAAATTGGAGGCCGGAAACGTGATTTCCTGGCATTTCAGGCACTTGTGTGGAGCCATTTAGAAGTACCTACCCCAGAAAAAAATAAAATTCTGCAACAAAATTAGCGCATTCTGGCGTTATTTCAGTGGACCAATCAATGCGAGTGCTATGAAATGATGGCATTTCTAGAGGAGGGGGCTGGACGCAACTGAGATTTTTGTGGGGGGGGGGCATGGTGCCCCATGGTTGATCCGGCGTTGTGTGCAGTGGAGGGGGGACTTCCGTGATGTATTTGACTATATCGTTACGTCATCAACATAGACACATATTGACATATTATTCATGTCGTTATTATCAGCTTTCCGTTTAATACCCACAATTCAAGTGAGATCGACATCACATTTGGCATGCTTGTTGATTAGACCATCACTTGCCGATATGACGTCACAATGCCAAGATGACGACGATGACGTCATTAGAAATAAGCAATTCGTCTTCAATACTAACACCACCTATTCACATACTCTCACCCACATTGCCAAATAACCTCACCCACCCACATCACATTTCCAGACAACCTCACCCAAATATTCTCACCCACATGCCCACATAACCCCACCCAGAACATACCTACCCCGAACAATTAATATGCCCTCATCCAAATACTCACATAACCTCACCCACCCACCACCACACAAAACATACAAAACCATTACTCTATACAGTATAATATCATACAAACTATATCATTACTTTATACAGTATAATATGTTCTAGTTAAATGTTTAATATTGTTTTATAGTTAGTATACATAGATAGAATTCAATGTTCAAGTTAAATGTTTAATATTGTTTTATAGTTAGTATATATGATTTAATATTTTATACACCATCAACAGACTAGTAGTACCAGTAGACTTTATCTCTATCTTTTATATTAAACTGTGATAATGAGAGATGTTTGTTGTGTTGTTTGTAGTGGTACTTGATCTGTCTCTCATCATCACTGTAGATAGAACCAATATAACAACCACACTTTCTAAGCTTCTTCTCCAGTATCTTCTCTAATTCATTCACTGTTTGATCTCTACTAATACTTATAGTACTTATAGTCGTATCATCATACCTGTAAATACAGGTAAATATATATTATAATACTTATATCATACAGGTAAATATATATTATAATACTGTATATACAGGTAAATAAATAAAATATGTGATTCCAAGAAAGGGATAGAAGAAAATAAAATGGACGTTGAAATAGTGGACCTGTTTTCCATGTACGTGTTTTCCATGTAAGTGGGTCTAATGCAGGTGTAATGGAACCGTTTCCAAATAATCGGCTAAAACGCGTACATGTAATACAGGTTTTACAGTGTTCAACTCAGATAAATATCTACTTGGACCATATTGAAATAACAGTCACCAGATGAGATAAATACCACGTGTGTGAAAACTGCTAACTGTTATATTAGTGACGTCATCTCTATTTGACGTCATCAATCGGGTGATGTTTTTGTTTAGTGTGGTTTCATCAGTCATCTTGTATAGTGATATCAGTGTTTTAACTATAATATATAATTTTACATGTTTTCTATCATCCACCTACTAATGGTTCTATTATAACAAGTTTAATATTCCTGATATGTCGTTTACTTTAAATTTCATGTACTATTATAAAATGTTTATTTACCGACATATATTGAGAGTAATCATTTCGTCTGTCTTGTCTGAATTTTTATTAACGTTAGTTTTCTTGACCACCGTTTCATCTTCTAGAATCCTCACTCTCTCTGTCATTTGGTTCATTCCATCAGTGAGTTTGTGTATTTGATCGTTTTTAACATCCAGTTCAATTCTCAAGGTATCCACGTCATCGGTGAGTTTGTGTATTTGATCGTTTTTAACATCCAGTTCAATTCTCAAGGTATCCACGTCATCGGTGAGTTTCTCTATTTTCTCTTCCATTTCATATTTCATGTCGTCCACGTCATCTTTTAGTTGATTAGTAAAATGGTTATCATTGCCAAATTGTATATTACTGGTGCCGTTAAAATGATATATAACAGGGTTGGTTTTAGTTGATTCTGACTGAAATATATAAAATATATATACAAATAATCACTGATAAATATCATTGATATGATAAATACCCCCCCCCCTCCAACTCACACTCTCCTCGCGCCAATCTATGTAGTCTGTGTTATCAAGTGACGTGTGTATATATTAACAAGTGTTATATTATAGACTCGATTCTTATCTTTTCGTTGTTTTTATGTCTGACGTCGATTACATTGAAACCTTAACATCTTCCCACATAACAATATGATGTTAATTTTACGTTACATTTACGTAAAAATGGTCAGTCAGTTTACCATCATTTTGCTCATCTTTTTAACGATAATTTTACGTCAGGAAATGACGTTAATCTAACGTAAACTTTACGTCATTTTTACGTTATATTTACGTCATTTTCTGACGTAAATCTAACGTAACCTTTACGTCATTTTCTGACGTAAATCTAACGTAAAATTTGCGTAAAGTTTACGTCATTTTCGTTAGATTTACGTCAGAAAATGACGTAAACTTTACGTTAGATTTACGTCAGAAAATGATGTAAATATAACGTAAAAATGACGTAAACTTTACGCTAGATTAACGTCATTTCCTGACGTTAAATTGTCGTTAAAAGGATGAGCAAAATGATGGATATCTAACCGACCATTATAACGTAAATCTAACATTAAATTAACATCATTTACGGATGCAATTCTAATGTCAAATTTTGATGACCAAAGTTACGAAAATATAACAAACCATTAAAACCTTCAAAATTATTCATTATTTGCGGCAGTAAATGGGAAGTACATTCAATCAATAATCAAATTTTCCTGACCCGTGGGTGAGGCTAAAAGTTGAGTGGTCCAACGTGTGCGCTTTAGATCATAAGGTCTGTCATTGAGTCAAGTGGTTTGTTTCCACACCCAACTTGAACATGGGTTTTCTCTGGGTCCTCCTACTACTAAAGATTCCTGGTGCGGATGAATTATTCAACTTGAATTGAATCACTTAGTCCCAAAGGACAGTTTATGTCTATTGGATGTTTTACCCCATTGCTCTCTATCTACCCATAACCAGTCAGAATTCTAAATGTATTGCACAGAAAAGTTAAAAATCTAGCAGAATAATATGACAAAATATACTACAAGTATGTATACATATACTTTATTTAAAAGACAAAAATATAATGTTATAAAATACAAAATACACATTTAAATATTAACAGTTTTTATCCACAGCTGTTTGAGAAATGAGGACGGGCATATGCCACACAGTGTGCAGAGCTATGGCGTACTCTTACATAAAATTCCAACTGCCAAGGGATCTTTCACACACACACACTTGAGTTTACACTGTACCTTGTTTTTTTGGTCCCTTCCGTATGACTAGTCAGCCATCCATGTCAGGTCCTCTGTCCGGCATCACTGACAAGGGAAAATGTTCAAGAAAAAGGTCTACATTAGCGCTATGAATGTGCTGATATGCATATAAGAAAGAAAAAACTGGGATATTGACCAAATTGGGCCAAAACCTATAGCCTCTATCTTATTTGCTCAAGGTATTGATGGAATAGGAGTTAACTTTGGAATGAGTGAAATGAAATGGGGTTTAATGTCCTATTCCGACAGGGCTAATGACATGGAAATATGCTATACAGTGTCCTATTATGGAATTTTATCCAGACAGCGGCGCTAAAGCCTACTCTTATATCGAATTCAAACTGCCAAGGGATCTTTCACGTGCACACCAATGTGTGCACAGGACCTCGGTCATTCGTACCATCCAAACGACTAGACAGCTGTCCCTCCTTGTCAGGACCTCTGTCCTGCACCTCTGACAAGGGGAGGAAACCAAGTCTGGAAATCACGAAGAACTTTCTCGGCCGACACTGGAATGGAATGTTGTGGAATGCTGAATATTGATAGGTTTCGGCCTCTCATGATTCCAGTGTGTAACACAAATTTGAAAAAGATCAATTAAGAATAAACACAGCATCTATTGCATTTGAAAAAGGGAGAATTAACCAAGGAAAGCAAAGTCCTGAAAAGCTGTATATTGATAATGCTTGTCCTCTCACAATCGGAATGATTCACATTTCACACCCAGTGTACGGACAAACAGGGCCAAAATTGATATGTGGGTGTATAAACAAAGATATATACTACACAAATATTACATGTGTTGCAGAATTGGTTTAACACATTTCAAATATAATTGTAACACGGATATTTGCAATGGTTGATCCATGACAAAAGATTTGAAATATTTTGAAGAGACGCAAAAGGTTACGCCATACAGTGTGCTATAAGGGAAATTTTGCCCAGGCAGCAACGCTATGGCCTACTCTTGTATCGAATTCCAACTGCCAGGGGATCTTTTATGTGCATGCCAATGTGTACACTGGACCTTGGTTTTTTTTTTGTCCCATCCAAACGACTAGACAGCTGTCCTTGTCAGGCCCTCCATCCTGCATCACTGACAATGGGAAACCACACTGGAAAATCAGGATGAACTTTCTCGGCCAATGCAGGGATCGAACACCCGACCTCAAGGATAGCGAGTCAGCGTCTTACCCACTTAGCCACATGATCCCCCCTTGGCCTATGTACATGTAGAGATGAATTTTGAGCTACCTTTATATATATATTTCTATTTTTAAAACCCGCGACAAGTATATTTATATCAAGGATGTAACCCTCTATCAGTTAACCCGTCACGGATTGGTTGCATTGGTGAACCGGTTCAAAATATTCATTTCATATCATACCTGACCTTCAAATCCAGGAATTGTAGCCACAACGGGGATCACGTTGGTTAAGTCGGTAAGACACTGGCTATCTAGTCTGGAGGTCGGGTGTTCGATCCCTGCATTGGCCGAGAAAGTTATTCCAGATTTTCCGGCATGGTTCTCCCTTGTCAGTGATGCAGGACAGAGGGCTAGACAAGACAGCTGTCTAGTCATTAAAATAGGACAAAAAAATGAGGTCCCATGTACACATTGGCGTGCACGTACAAGAGCCCTTGAAGTTAGAATTCGATATAAGAGAAGGCCGTAGTGCCACTGTCCGGGCAAAATTTCCCACATAGCACACTGTATGGCGTATGCCCATCTTCATTAGCCCAGTTCAGAGCAAAACAGTAGGACGTTAAACTTTCATTTCACTAGCCACAGCTCTGTTTTCTTTCACCAAAGGGGGGGGGGGGTGGATGGCTGAATGGTTAGCGTGCGCGCACTGTATCATAAAGTCTGTCATTGAGTCGACTGGCGTGGTTTCGAATCCCCAGTTGTACGTGGCAAGGAGTAGGGTCGCCTGTTCAACTTCATGGGTTTTCTCCGGGTCCTCCGGTTTCCTCCCACTCCTAAAGACCCCTACGCGCAAGCGAATTATGTAAATAAAAAATTAAACCATATGTTAGTCCCGAAATGACCTAGTTTGTGTCGAGTGGATGGTAAACCCCATTTCTCTCTCTCTCTCTTTCACCAAAGGGGGGGATCAAGTGGCTAAGTGGGTAAGACGCTGGCTCGCTAGCCTGGAGATCGGGTGTTCGATCCCTGTAAGTTCATCCTGATTTTCCGGCGTGGTTTCCCTTGTCAGTGATGCAGGACGGATGGACTGACAAGGACAGCTGTCTAGTCGTTATGGGACGAAAAACTGAGGTCCCGTGTAGACATTGGCGTGCACGTAAAAGATCCCTTGGCAGGCAAAATTTCCCTCATAGCACACTGTATGGCATATGCTCGTCTTCATTAGCCCAGGTTAGGAGCAGAATAGTAGGACGTTAAACCCCATTTCATTTCATTTCATTTCTTTCACCAAAGACCACATAAATACTTCATTTAGCACTTGTCATTTGAAACAGTTATAGCCTATGTCTTGTCTGGAAGAGGGGGCATCATCACATTACCATACAGGGTATAAGTCGATGTTGAGTATAAGTCAAATTGCCAAATTTTACATTTTTCCGACCTACATCCATAATTAAGTAGAGGCGGTATATAAGACTAATGTTTTTCAACTCCACGAGTTTCGAGACTGTTATCCTAGTCTAATACCGTGCCGGTGTACGCCGAAGAAAAGTTGGGCCATATAAATAATGAGGGTCTGGGACAGTTGTCAATAACACTTGCATTTATAAACAAACATGAATCGTGATGACGAATTAGGATTCAATAAAAAAAAACAACATAGATATGGCCCATGAAGAGAGAAATTTTACAATAAAAAAAAATTAAGAGTGTTGGATATTGAACTGACAATGCAATCAAATGGACTTTCGGAAATGGCATTCTTATATAAATTTCATGGGCGTCAACATCTTGTTTTAGGACTAGTTACCTTCCTTAGACTTTGTTTATGATAATGTAAAAGACCGGATAATCTAGCCTATGACCGATTATTCTCAAATGTTGACAACGCAACCACACTAATATTCGTAGAATATAGAATATTTTTTTCTAGATGATAGAGACTAATAATATGCCAACATTGAAATGTGTGCATAAATATGGTATATACTTAACTACACCAATATTATACCTATGTCATAGAATTTGTTACAAACATTACAAATATAATCTTAATAGAGATCTTTGCTATGGTTGATCTATCAGTAAAAATTGGAAGATTTGTAAGGAACGCAAATGGTTATTGTTTACTGGCTGCAGCAGGGAGCAATAACAGGAACACAGATGATTTTCAACTCACTGATACAACTCAGTTTAAACTTTAAGCCAAAGAGCTGTTATATAATACTGTGACAGGATATCTGCTCTAAACTAACTAGTCATCAAAGAATTGACTGTCAAAAGTTCAGACAGAAAGTATTTTAGGCCTACAATGCTTGTAAAGCTTTGGCCTACATTCTGATGATATTTGTGCTACCATAGATACATATATATTTATATCATTACGTTATGTGACAAGTAGTAGTGTTTGGCAAGTAGTAGTGTTGTCTAACTATCATTATAAAGCCCATATAAATCTTTTTAGAACTTCTTTGTCATTACTGCCACCAAGGGTGCTCAAATA